GAAGACTATTTACGGCAACAGCTTTAAATAGATCGCTGTCTTTAGTTTTCATTCATCATATATATATATATTAGACACCGTGCTTATTATGGTATTTCAATTTTCGAAATGACCTACGGAGTTGGCATTCCTCTTTGAGCGAATGCCAGTCTAATAATACTCCGCGTGGATCTACCTATTGGTCTAAAGAAATGATGACGAAAGCCTGTATTCAAGACGCAAAGCATGTAAGATCTGAACGTCGTGTGAATTGACTCACCACACTGCGGTTCCGACAACGTTTGAAAGTTACCGAATGACCAACTGTCTGTAAGTTTAGTACAAGCAATACTTCCCAATTTATTGAACAGGTGCATTGAACCAAACATCGCCATAGCCTTGGAAATGGAATTTGCGACATTTAAATATTTTCTACCAGTTTAAATCCGGTAGCCCCATGTCAATGAAGATGCGTACAACAATAGGGTTTGCAATATAATATGTTTCAACCCGTAACGCATAAGCTGATGTGCGCAGCCTGATATCATTTCCTTTATGTTGACTTTATCCCTTTGGGACTCTCTTATGTTCGCTGACCAAAGCAAACGGTAATTTTTAGGGCATGGTATGTGTCAGACTAATACATGTACTTTCCTTTATGCAATTGTCAGCATTCCGTCGAGATGTTTCCATTGTGACTTAAACCAACAGTTAGCTGTCCATACGATTCTACTTTACATTGTTTTCCGATGCCACCATATGCATTTTTCTACTTTAAGTCCGGACAAATTAAGCGTTATCAGCGCTCAAGATTGACAGTCGTTAGCATTTAAAATATTAGCTTCAGCACACAAGGGCCAAGATATACTGCTTTTTACTGTTCAAGGAGACAAATTCAAAGGCATACACGTGTGTGTTTTACCTCAGCATTTATTAGCGTCAATAGCATATTTATTTATAGACATCGTTGACTACCACTAATCATTAGTTTTTAGCTTATGCATAATAATTGACCAGAATGCGCGCCTCTATATTTAACGCAAGTTGGGACACCGAATAATTGCCTTCAGAATGGCGACTGTCAACTGTCGTGCCCATCTTCAAGTAGGTACCGCGTACTTTGTGCGAAATCATCGAGGCATTAGCCTAGTTTCCATTACCTACAAACTTCTCACGGTTATTAATCTCAGTCGATATACTGATGCTCGTGAGGATTTGACCACTGCAAGTCAGCGTGGCTTTTACGCTGGACGTGGTTGTATCGACCCCATAGTTACTCTTCATTAAGTATTGTAACACACATACAGACGACGGACAATGTGGTTTTCCTTGACTAGAGAGCTGCCTTCGACTCTGTTGACCGCACCAGCTAGTGGCACTGCGTATCCATTAAAGGCGTGCCAGATAAACTCACTTCTATTTTATAGTACTTCTGAGGCGGTGTAGGGGTTGACGGAAAACTCTCTCCTGAGTTCCCCACGACAAATAAGCCTCGCGAGATATGTTCTATAACTTCCTGCCCTGCTCATCTTGATCGAAACGATCGGGAATGCCTGGATTCTTTCATGATCTACCGGAGTAGAAGTTCTGTCAGATGACCGACTGATACATCCTGTGTATGCGGAAGACATAGCTCTTTTTGGGTCGGAAGCAGTGCTCATGCAAACTTGACTGGGTCGACTGGTACGTGGCGCAGCACTCTTTGGAATATGCTCTGTGTATTGGTACCTGGCGACCGAACATCACGGAACCCAAGCTGGTCTCTTAGTTACTCGGGTCGATAGTCTCCAATTGATGCCATTAAATGAATAATTGATATGGAATGGCGAGGATAGATCTCAAGTGTTTGCCGCGAGAGGAACAACCGGATGAGCTGTGCCAATGTGTGTGCGATTCTAATAGATCTGTTGTGGCTTTTTGAAAAACACAATGTTGATAGAGGAACAGTCTTCGTTCTTGTTTCATGGAAGGCCATTACGATATTCTGCACCTTCTAAATGCAACTTACTAGTGCAGGACTCCATTAACATACTAGGTCTTTTAGTTACCACCGAACAGCCACTGGAAGTTGTGGATCGGTTTACTTGCCTTGGTAACTGCATCAACTCTTGTCATCACATCGCCGAGCAGGTTACTTCGCAAATCAACAAGGCACGTGTGGCTTTCCAGATGCTTAACCCTCTATGGCGACGTCAGGATTTCAGCCTGTCAGTGAAAGGAAAGGTGTATACATCTGCGGTAAAGTCGATGTTAGCGTATGGATCAGAGACATTGTCAGTACGCAGTGAAATCACTAAGCGCTCAGCCGTGTTTAACTACCGGCGCTTGCGGTGTAGTGCTCACATCTGGTGGGTAAACCGAGTGGGCAATACTGAGGTTAGGCAGTTGATCTTTGGCAACAGGCTTTCTGGTGACTCACTGAAGTGTTTACAGAATCTTATTCGCCAGACCATGTCTTCCGTATACCCGTCGACCGGCTTTATCGGGGTGCATTATACGCCGTGCCTGCACCAAGTTAAGCGAAAACTCTAAGTGACCAGTCCATGGCTTGGCATAAAGTCATGCTGAACCCGCTCAATAAACTCGGTCTGACGAGTGTGTTCCATTGTTCTGGATGAAAACCTCTGGATTGTCCACACTAATAGAGGGAGACCCCATAAGACATGAAGCAGTCACGCCCTCACTGCCGTTCCTGATTTCGATTTAGTTGCTTCAGGCGGACTGAAAAGACATGAAAGAAAACGAAGGGACACTTCGACCTGTTTCGTAGAGCGTTCGGGAATGCCGACGACTTAGTTTTCCAGAAAATATTTGGGCGGGTACATGAGGTCGCGAACGGAATATGCTATCCAAGCGTGGCACGCCTGGCTGAAGCACCATCTCACCGAGCTCGATATTGCCCAAAGCAGGGCGACAAAGAACGTCATAGATTTTTCTCGCCTTCCCTACCCACCCCGGCTGCATATCCTTAAAATATTCAGCGGCCTTTAGCGGCGTCAAAGGGGCGATCTCATAATGGGGTGTCAAAGCCTGAAAAACCTCAACCAGATATGTCATTCCATGTTGAAAATTAGTCGAAACACATATGTAAGGGGTCATCAGTTTAAGCATGCCACGAAATACAGCCGACTGGCATGTAAACGAAACATTCTGTCCTTCCGAGTGTTACAGCTCTGGAACGCCCACCCGGTGTATGCAATTAATACCACCAAATTAGCCCTATTCAAGAAACGGCTTGACTCTACGCTGACACATTTACAGTAAGGTATATAGCCCGTGACCATCAAAAGATGGCGTTTGTGCAGAACATGCAGTGGACGGTGCCATAAATTTCCTAAACCTTAGGCAGGAATACTCACACATGAGCTACTGCAGACCCCCTGGTGAGTCAGTTACCTCGGGCCCTCTTTTACCGACACATTTGTCTGTTATAAATTTCACCCTGAGCATCCTACTGTGCATGTTAAGTATTCTCCTTTATACCCATCATAAGCTGTTGCACTATTGCTCTATTTCTTCTACTCCATTATATTGCCGTCGTTTATCGTTGTTCCTGTGATATAAAAATCGCTGCAACTGGCTCCACCGCACTTTAGTGCTTCGATCATTATTATTCAACTATATTGAACTGAACAGAATGCACAAAGCTTAACAGATCAATGTATAACTCTTGCACATACACTAAAATCCTATAAAACATTTCATTCCTATTAATTTTACTTAGAAATATCATTAAACTCACATTCCTTGGAATACACCACCTTATAATTTGAAGGAACTGACATGATAAGTGATTCGCAAAATAAGGAGTGCATCAAGAAAAGCTGCTTTCGACTTTTCACTTTTACGCCGTAACAGATCCATAACCATTTTAGCGACATGCTATATTCTGCTAAGTAAAATGAAGTGCTTCCATTTATGCCAATTAATCTAATGCAAAACTTCCCGCGAGCCAATTCCCATGACCATTCTTGTTTCATTAATTAATACATAACAAACTGCGTTACACTTTACTTCCAACAGGTCCTGAAAATTCTAATCAGTTTAAGAAAAGTAGTTTAACGAGTGAGGTGTCACCGAAAGTTTCGTGCATCTGGCCGCATAACACATGACAACCGTAGTTCTAAGTGTGTCGTTTCCGGCCTGCGTATATTCACTACAGAAAATGATGAAGGCTTTAAAACTGCACACGGCCTTCAGCGTGACGTTAGGGACAAACTGACTACATTTCACGCAAAAACTGTCTGGCAGCATGTGATGATTTTTAACGTCATAATAAATTTCTTATTTCAGGAGACAACAAGTAAAAGCACAAGTAAAACAAGACGTATGTCCAACGTACCGTAAATTGTTTCACATCAACCCTAGTTGTAACGAAAAAATAGTGACGATTCGGTGGAACTGATCTCTGTCCTGGGAAAACTCTTCTAGATTATTGTGCACAAACGTTGGAACACGGGGTCGTTTACATCGATGGTGCAAAACTACACTCGCTGTACTGACCACTACTTCAATAGAAGGGCGAAATTAGTACGTAAAATAACTGCAGCTCGTTCACCAGAGTGCTCAGCGAACGTTATTTGATTTAACCTCTAGACAGTCAGATAGCTATCACACGCCCAGTACAGCAACACAAGGCATATTACTCCTTTAGGGAATCGTCAGCCCTATGACCGCCAGATTGAATACCCGTTGCTGACGATTCCCGATGGGATGAAACTGCCGTACAGGGCTTTTCCAGATGTGTGATGGTTATGTGACTGAGTCTAGTTGCGATGACATTTTACCTATACAATCCGAACCCACCTACTACTTTCATGTTGCGTTTTTGACTTATCAAGCCTCTGAATCGATCTATACTACCATTATTTCACCTCAATTTAAAAGATTCATACAGCGCGCGATGAGACATAATAGTAATACAACTTCAGGCAAACATATGAAACTTGCTTAACTTTTCTGATTTTTAGCTCTGAACTATTTCTGTTACAAAAAGTAAATCGATATCTCTCTAAACTCACACGGGATTTTTGTCACTCCACTCCACAATATGATCCTGGAAATATCCACCGTTCACGTGCAAAGTGAATAATACATCCATCATAATGTAGATTACTGTCAAGCACATGAATGAATCTTAACGCCGGGTTCGTCAACCACACATGAATTTGTCTGACACTGCGCTATGTCACATGTGTATTTAACCAGTCGTAGGTAGCTTTTTCCACCTCACGATCAAAGGCGTTCGCATCATAGTGGGAGCGCATAAACCGTTATACGCGGATGAACGTGCTTAGGTGATTGGTCCACTATTGCAATTGTATGCAACAAATCAAATAGCGGAGAAGACTGCGCGCGGCTAGTTTAGCCAAGATTTCTCCTTAAAAAGGTTATACAAACATCTAAAGATTAATCATATCTTCACCAGAAATCGAATGTTTCACTAGCTACCAGAAACGAGATAGGATCTGACTGTTTCATCCTTTTCACACTCCCTCCCCAGACACACCAAACCACTGCCATCATGGTATCACCAAGCTGCACCGAAAACAACCAAATGAGAATGCCCGCGAAGTGTTAGCATACCACGACCAAAGACCCAAATGAAAATATTCGTAAAAACATCTCCATTGTAACCTAGTAAACACCCAAACAATCGATAGCCACGCATGCCGGATCATGCTGCAATGTAAATATGATCCATCCATTTGTTGGTTTGGTTTCTCAGTACCACGAGAAATATACATTATTATTATTACTTCGGGTGGCATACATTTTCCCTTACCATTCTCAGTCAAGTCGGTAATAGAATTACGAATGCCAGAAGTCAAAGGCATATTATCACATATCATGCCATATTATTATCAAAGTCATTTTATCAAAGTCATTTTGTCCCTTTCGCGTTTTACTGAATGTGTACTTATTCTGAAAAACATGAGGCAGAAAGTCACTACCGTTTGAGTGGAAGAAACATCTAGGTGCTCGCGAATCTCACCTACTTCTAATTTAAGGGGAGGTAACAAGCTGGAAAATCATACATGACGTAACTAGTTTGCTAATGGGCAATGGTATCTAAATCTAAACATATTTTAATGAAAGTTTGCATATACCTTCCTTATATAAAATACAAACAATAGTTAACAGCGAACTAAAGATATATATTTGTTTATTTCATACTTCTTTCCATTTGATCGGGTATCTATTTCATTGATTAGTAAGGTTACTGCTTCACGTTGTCACTCCTATTAAAAAGCTGTTCTGTATATGCAGCCAAAGTTTTGCATACTTGCACGGATATGGTTTGGATGTAATTTACACTAGACTCACGTCTGTGTGTATTTTAGATTTTATTTGATGTCCAAAGTGGGCACAAAATTTGAACGCAGATTACGTGTAGACAACAAGTGTGGGACCCTTGAATTTAGTACGTTTCAATTTGATAATAATGAAGAGCATGTTTTCCAAAATTTACCAAATGAAATTACGGGAACTCTCATTTGTTTTTTGTGTCCCTCCATGAGCACATTTTGACCGTAATGTCTCGCTGGTAAAAGTTACAAAGACAGGTCTTATGGATTAACAGATATAGGGAGGAAAGGCATTTCTATCTGAATCTGAGCCCGGTTGATTCTTGGAGGGGCACCAGTCTCCCCAGTTGTTACGTTAACGGTTCCTATGCTCCCTCATGGCACAAATTCCTTTGCGCAGCTGAGTAACATTTGTGGTGTTTATACGTATTGCAGCACCATAATGTCCTTGAGTCTTTAAAATTGCCTTTTTCATCAGGCGGTCTCTCCCACCAATACTTTGAACACCATAGACATGGCGCCTAAAGCTTACCTTCTTCAACTCATTCACCTCATTAAGATATCGCGCCATTCTCTTCCGCACAAGACCACAACATTCCAGGTTTGCAATAGCAATACAAGTATACACTGTTGGTTCTGCATTTGTAACTGATGTGAATGATTTACCGTCTCCATCTCCAAGAAAGGAAACATAGCGCAGACCCTACAACTCTTCACTCCGCCTGAGCATTTCTAGCGCTCCAGCTGGCTCGATGCTACCTGCGGATCCACGGTGATTCTCATCACAGTTCTGAATATGGGAAGGCTTCCATGCCTGCACCTTGACCTCAGCTTTCATATTCTTGTGTTTTGCACAAGGATTGCAATAAGTACTCATAACTGCTGTGTCCAGAACTTGAGTTGTGTCCATCCACATTTAAAATAGTGACTGAACCATTTTTACTCTAGAACCCCCTTGTCTGCCATGTGCCATCACAAGGGACAGTTATGGCTTTTTCTTTCTTTTTCTTCATCTCAGACGCAACTATATGTATATTTGTACGTACAACTGTCTCGTAGACTGGAGAATGTTTTTAGAAAGAGACTAACTGATTTTATGCATAATATTTGCCATGTTCATATCGTGAAGAACATTTTTACCGTGCATAAAGTTCCTTCCTATAGCAAAGATAGCAGCTGCATACCCTTTGTTGACTTTGTATGTTTCCCACATTTTTCTGAGAACATAATGAAACGGTATATTGACATTGACAGTGGAAAGCGAACTTTGAGACAAGCCAGTTTCGCTGCTTTGTTACAGAATAAGGTGTTTAAAAGTTAACAAGAAGCTAAAAGCCGAAAATATTAATACCTGTAAGCTCCTCACAGCCTGCGAGGTATGAGGTCGTAGTATGATTATTGAAACAGACGTAGAAGGTTCGTTTTTTCATCAAAACCACAAATTTCATCACCTCCAGCTACTTGTTGCTGCTTCTTAGAGTACCGAATGCAATGAAATATACGTTTTCTTGATCTATCAGTTCAGTTTACATTCCTTTTGCCCATAATTACAGAATCTTTTGTCACAATCGTAAAATGGCTTTGTCGGCATAACAACAGACAATGGCCCACGCAGTCACTAGGCAACCGGTATGTTGTTATAATACGAGTGTGTTGATTGCCTGAAAGGAACATATCCTCTATGAACAGACCAATGAAATCTTTTCGTTCACGTTGTGTACCATAAAATCTAGGTTAACAGACCAAGAATATACCAATTTACGACTTGAATGAAGTCTCTAAGTCAATTAGGAGCCAAAATACAGCGTTTCATACTTTACGTATGTCATGAGCTTGAAAACTTTGAAGAAAATATTACACATGCTTCAGCAAATGCAGAAATTGCGCTTTAAAACGCATTCATTTAAAAACCCCGTTTGCACAGCAGTTTCCTATGAAAAATAATTGTAATTTATATACGGAAACTCCAAATGGTCAACTTACCTATTTTCTTGTTAGTCCCTCCCAATTAAGCTAACCCATCATTTAAAAATTTGTTAGTAGGTTACTCGAAAGAGTGGAATGCATTTGTTACGACTAAGCTCAAGATATCTAACATTGAAATAAGTGCCAGAGCGCCTCTAATCGGAGGTCGCTTGAATAATCTTGATCCTTAATGGAGTGGTTCAATAAATCGATTTAAATACGCGTTGTAATCTCCATAACAATTGAAGTAACTAATGTTTACGTTGGATCGCCCAAGTTTAAAAGAGCTTTCTCAGTCTGGCAAAACGAAATGAAAGCACGCAGAATGGAGCTAACTCTGCCGACAATCAGCAATTCCTCAGCATATTAACTGAATATGGATCGATATTTGGCATCCATAGAACAATATAATTTTGGATATTATCGATTTTACTAGAAACATGAGCGAAGAACCCTATCAAGTATACCCAAATACTGAGCTTGGTTTTGACATTTGGCTTTAATCGACTGTCGACATATCTACTTGCAGATGCAATTTTTAATAGTGCTAATGTAACAAAAGTGAAACCGAACAGCTTTTTTTAAACCATACGTTATATTTAGTGTTTGTTTCATTCGTTTTCCTATCTTCATGTGTACCGTATTCATAACGATTCAAACGGTAAAAGCATCACTGCGTCTAGCTTTAACGAAGCTACTTGTTGACGCATACTTGTATCAGTTAACACGTTTGCTTCTGTAGTGTTGCCGAATACACTTGTATCTGCTCCGTTCCTTTGTTCTGGTATTTGGTTCATCGACGCATCGTCGTCGTATATGTGTCTACGATTCGGTCGTTGAGCCTCGCTTACCATTCGCTTATAGTCCGGAATCCTCGTCAGTACCACTAACCTGCTCCACTGAACTTGGTACAGTAATGGTACATGTGGCGCACTACGTTAAAGCGTCTTCCCCTTCTTCACTAATGCGATCAGGAATAGTGAATACATAGACACCAGACAACGGAGTAACAAAAACCAGACATTGTTGCGTTCCGTTAACTCAGCTGTGTCCTTTGAGGAAACAAACGGCAATATTTGTAGTTTGTAGATACTAGGATCTTATGACAAAGTTGCCATCGGCACTTTTCACATACTTGCCCAAGCCATCCAATTCCAAGACTTATAAATATCACGAGTAGTTAAACGACTGCCTTTCAAATGGGGCAAAATTTGCCAACCCATAGTTTTAACGGGTTACTAAAATACACCATTAGAAGCTTGAAAAGCCGTAATTGGGTTAGCCAAGCTACTTTCCCGACACTTCCAAAGATGGAAATATGAACACCAAGTCCCAACATTGTAAGAGCAGGTATTAATACTCATAATATTAAACATGGTAACTTGTGCCTACCAGTAAACTACCGCACAATGCTTGTCCTCCTAGAGATCTCAAAGATAATGAAAGCGATCATTGCGGAGACGCTAATAAAGTATTTAAAAACGCTTAACATTATAGCCATGGAGCAACGCGCTTTCCATCAACACTAGTCATGTATATCCAACCTACGGATTGCGCATAACAGTTGAACTGGAATAGCGGACACTGAAAGCAGAACCGATATCCCTTATTTAAACTATACGAAGCCTTCGACCGTTTAGGTTAGGGTATCCTTCTCCAAGGGCTGCAAACGCACGGAATTAGAACCTTTTTGCTTGGATAGATCAGAAACTGCAGTCTATAGCGGCGTTTGCAGGTGGGAGTTCATAGCTCATTTTCTGATACAAAAGAATAATTACTAAAGTCGCGAGTAATCTTGGCCTTCAGAATTTACTTGCTTCGTGTCATCCAGTCTAATTTCCTGCATTTGATCGAT